CTGCAAGGGCGTTGCGGGGAAGGGAGGATCGCCCGGCAGTGCATGCAGACCCCCTCTCCGTTTCTCAACAGGAGGGGGCTCGGCACGAGGCGGCGCGGCCGCGTTTCGGCGCCGCCCGCAACGGCAACATGGCCGACTCACGGCCTTCGAAGCGGACCAAAGCCACCTGTCCCCAGCAATGCCTTGGCGGGATGCCCAGATCTGTCCGTCAGCAGAGGCATGGGCAGCCTTGCTTCAGGGCTCGACCTGGACGGCGTCTTTTGAGATCTCGAGGCCCGTTCTCGTTTCGACGTCGTCTTGCAGCAAGGGCGGGACGGAGACAGCACGAGGGCAAACGAAAACATGACGAAAGCGGAAAACACCGCTTAGGTCGATCCCTGCTTCGCTTCAGGCACGAGGGTTGCCCGCATCCGTCCGTCGACAGGGACGGGCCTCTGGGCCCCCGCGATGCCCTATCTCCCTGGGGAGGGCCTCGCCTTCCATGACTGTGCGCGCAGAAGATCCTGGGCCAACGTCGCCCAGCCATTCACTGGATAGGGGGCTTCTCAGGGGTGCTCTCTGATCTCAGAGAACTCTTAGTAGCGCCCCGTGCGTCCCCCGTATCGAATGGCGTCGGCACGGGGAGGAGGAGGAGGAGGAGGAGGAGAAGCAGGAGGAGAAGGAGGAGGAAGAGGAGGAGGAGAAGGAAGAAGAGTAAGACGAGGGGATGACGAGTGAGAGGATTGTGGGGATGCACGTTGTGTTTTTGGACGACTTTACAGCGCCAGCCTCAAGTCAATGAGGAATTCGACGAAGTGCCTTCCGAATCTCGATAATACACACCAGATGCAGCCAGCTGCACTCCCGTACAGATCAATCCAGAAAGGCTGCCGCTTTAGCCAATGATGATATGTATTATCAAGCTGTCAGCGGCAAGTCCCGCCACCGTGCCAGCCCTGCATTCAAGGTGGCGACTGTTCGAGGGGGCACGGGAGGCCGTCACGTGTGACACCTCGTGTCTCCAGGCTTGCAAGAATCGTGATGAGGATCGTGATGATGATGCTAATGATGAGGATGATGATGAGGATGATGATGATGCTGGTGATGATGATGATGATGATGATGATGATGACGATGACGATGATGATGCTGATGTTGATGATGCTGATGCTGATGATGGTGATGATGACGGACGACGATGATGATACTGATGATGGTAATAGTGAGGATGAGGATGTTGATGGTGACGATACGGATGGTGACGATGCCGGCAATATTGATGGTGGTGATGGTGATTATGATAATGTTGTTGCTGCTGCCGATGATGATTGTGAACATGCAATGATATGATGGTGCTGATGATTATGCTAATGATGACGATCATGATAATGATGCTGCTGCTGCTGATGATGATGATGTTGCTGCTGCTGATGATGACTATTATGATGATTATGATGATGATGATGATGATGATGATGATGATGATGCTGATGATGATGATGATTCTGATGATGATGATGTTGATGATGATATGATGATGCTGTTGACGATGATGATGATGATGATGATGATGATGATGATGATGATGATGATGATGATGATGATGATGATGATGATGATGATGATGATGATGATGATGATGATGATTGTGGTGGTGCCGATGGTGATGATGAACCTGCTGCTGATGATGATGCTGATGCTGACGGTAATGATGATACTGCTGATGATGCTGATGATGATGCTGCTGATGATGATCATCATGATGATGATGATGATGATGCTCATGCTCATGCTGATGCTGATGCTGATGATGCTGCTGCTGATGATGGTGGTGATGATGATGATGATGCTGCTGATGCTGATGACGACGACGACGGAGAATCGCAACATACATAATCTGATGGTGATGGGGCCTGTTGTACTCGTGGTGTGGTGATGGAGATGATGATGACGAGGATGAGGAGGCACAGCCGGAGCAAGAGGCAGAACGAGAAGGAGGACCAGGGAGGCCGTCACACGTGTCACCTTTTGTCATCACCGTTTGAGCAACCTTCATGGAACTCGGTGGGGCCGTCTTGGGGCTGTCTTGGCCTCCTGTGAGGCAATCTTGGGGGTCCTTTGGGGCCCTCTTGGGCTGTCTTGGGGCCCTCTTAGGCCGTCTTGTGGCTCTCTTGGGCGATCTTGGGGCCCTCTTGTCCGTATGGTGGGTGTCAGGGGGCCGTCGTGAGGCCGTCTCTGCGCCGTTTTGGGCAGTTGATTGGCCCTCTAAGGCCGTCTCGGCTCCGACGGGTGGCCCTCGTAGGCCTTCTTGGGGCCGTTTTGGATGTCTCGTGGGCCTCGTGGGGGCCCCCTCGGGCAATCTTTGGACGGGGACGGGGCTCGTTGGCCCTGTCGGCGGCCACTCGCGTGCGGAGACGTGGGAGGCTCACTACCAGAGATCAACAACGATGGCATCGAGGGTGTGGGGGCCTTCAAGAAAGGCTTGTCAGATGCGTCTGATGCCTTGTCAGGGGGGAGCGAGGACGGTGGCCAGGGTGGGCTTGGGGAGAGCCAACGTGTATTGGTGGATTCTTCAGCACACGCGAGCCAGAGGCATATGATGCCAGGCCACGGGGGAGGGGGGAGGGCGATGCGGAGTTCAGGAGGGAGGTTCGGGTGGGCATCTAACGGCGTCGCTCGTCTTCGAAGAGTGTGGGGGGCAGAGGCATCGTACGTCAGGCTATGAGGCAACGGGGGGAGGGCGGCGCTGCTGCTAACCGTCCCCCTGCTGGCTTGTGGATTCTGATGGGGTGAGCGTGGTGGGCGCAGGAAGAGCAAGAGGAGGCAGAAAAAGGCGGGCTAGTGTAATTTGAGCGCTATCCTCGCGCTGCGTTGTTTTGTTGCAGTTCGCTCTAGTCATTTCAGGCTCTATCTGCGATCACTTCAACGGGTACCATTCGCATCACAAGGTCTCATGATCGCCTCGTCCTTTCCTTCCTTCCGATCCTTCTCTCTCTTCTTCTGATCAAGCTGTTCCTTCCGAGTATCCCCCCCTTCCAGTCCTGCGTTTAGGCGGTCTCATAGTTTTCACAGGAGTGAGGGTTCACGGCGCAGCGGGGATGTTTGATTATGATGTTGATGACGATGGTGACGATGATGATGATGATGCTGATGAGGATGATGATGCTGGTGATGATGATGATGATCATGATGACGCTGATGCTGATGTCGGTGATGTTGATGGCGGTCGCGTTGACACTTCTGCTGACGGGGAAGGCGACGATGTTGCTGTTGTTGGTGATGACGATGACCATGCTGAGTATTTGCACGCGATGACGACGGCGGTGAGTATGATGACGGCGACGAGGATGACCATCTCAATGCTGATGGTGATACTGATGGTTGTGATGCTGATGACGGCGATGAAGATGATGATGAGGATGATGCTGACGATGCAGATGACGACGGCGACACCGACGACACTGTTGACGATTTATGGTGCCGTCGATGATGACGGTGATGATGATGATGATGATGATGATGATGCTGATGATGATGATGCTGATCATGATGATGATGATGATGGAGACGATGATGTTTATGATGTTGATCAGGATGTTGACGATGATGTGGATGATGATGCTGCTGCTGATGACGATGCTGATGCTCGTGATGATGTTGATTATGATGATGATGTTGCTGATGATGATGCTGCTCATGATGATGCTGCTGCTGATGATGATGATGATGATGATGCTGATGCTGACGATGACAATGGCGATAAGGACGATGCTGAGTATTGCGATGATGATGCTGCTGCTGATACTGATGATGAGGATGGTGCGTATGATGATGATGAGCATGAAGACGAGGGTGATGATGACGATGTTCCTGATGATGACGATGCTGCTGATGATGATGATGGTGATGGTGATACTGATGATGATGATGATGATGATGCTGATGATGATGATGATGATGATGATGATGATGATGACGCTCATGATGATGATGTTGATATTGATGATGCTGATGATGATGATGCTGTTGCTGCTGCTGATGATGCTCTGGATGATGATGATGATGATGATGATGATGATGATGATGATGATGATGATGATGATGATGATGATGATGATGCTGATGCTGCTGCTGCTGCTGCTTTTGAGGATGCTGCTGATGATGATGCTGATGCTGATGCTGATGATGCTGATTACTATGATGATACTGATGTTGATGATGCTGCTGCTGCTGATGATGATGATGATGATGATGATGATGATGCTGATGATGCTGATGCTGGTGACGACGACTCTGCTGATCATGGTGATGTAGATGATGGTGATTCTGGTAAACATGGTGGCGATGGTGACGATCATGAACAGTATGATGACGTCCACGAGAATCTATCCCGCACGGTCGCCCGCTGCCGCCTCCCCGCCTCTCCGCCCCTCCGTCTTCTCCCGCGTGACGGGGGTCGGAGCGCCTTCGGCGCGCGGCGGCTGCCCGCGACGGGGGTCGATGTGGGGCCGTCGGCGGGGGATGACGCCCCCCCCCGACGCTCTGTGAGAAACTCGGAGTATCTACATATGCTTCTCCTCCCGCTCCCTGGATCTGTCCTTCGAGCCGCCCAACCAAAAAGAGTATCTATATATCCACACCCTCCCGGTCTGGATGCCGGGGCGCCACCCCGCGGACGCGGGGCCTCCGCGGGGCCTCCGCGCGGGGGGCCGCCCTGCGTCCGTGCGGGGGTGCGGCCCGGCCGTCGGGCCCGCAGGGCCGTGGGCACGGGCACGGCCTCCCGCCCGGGAGAAGCGTGCGCGCTCTCTCCTCCCGCGATGTGCCCCACTGTCGGGGGACGAAGTCTATACATATCCACTGCTCCCTGGCCAGGCCCATCCTGAACCCAGGAGCTGTGTATACGCCCTCCTGGCCAAACCAGGAGGGCGTGGCGTATACACAGCTGCTGTGTTCAGGATGGGCCTGGCCAGGGAGCAGTGGATATGTATAGATTGCGTCGCCCTACCACTGTCCGATGCCAGGTTCGACATACCCTTCGACTTCGAGATCAGCCAGCCGTGCCTGGTCGGGGCGCTCCGTGGACCGCCCCCCCGATGCTGCTCCGCAGTCGACGCGCACGGCAGGAATGGGCAGCAGTCCCAGGTGTGCCCTTGCATCCTGGCCTCTTCGGGCCATCCTGAGCCAATCCTTAGCTCGAAACGCATCAACTTGAGCGTTCACTGGGCTTGCATGCTTGCCTCCCTCGTTTTCTTACAGAGTCAATTCCGATCCGAACGATCTGATTCGGCATCGATTCCGGCCGGCACAATCCGATTCGATTCTGGTAGTCTGACGTTGCGACGCGGCTCGATGTTTGCATGGCGCTGTTTTGCATCTTGTCCCGCCCGATTCGATGATCTCGACTCCGTGCCAATGCAGCCTGATCCGTCACACGTTTCGATTCGATACGATTTCCCGATTCGATGCTGACTGATCCTGCCATCTCGCAGGGCTCGAGAAACGGTGGTTTGGCGATTTCGTGGACCCGTTTCGTTTTGATTGCGTCTTGCAGCAGAGGCATAATGAAAACATAACCAAGGGAAACGAAATCAAACCGAAATCTAAAAGCACCGTTTAGCTCGAGCCCTGCCTTCTCATTCGCGTTTCATCGAGAACAAAAGAGCCCCTAACCCTCACAACACGGCGAAGACGTGGCCCCACTAAGGTCCCCGTCTACACATTAGGGATCATACGGTTGGGCGGTCTGTTTCCACACCTCCCCAGAAAGACCCCCTATCCCTATTGCTTTTGGTCCTCCTAAGTTAGGTCCCCTCCCACAAGGTTAGAGCTACTTTTTGTTGCTGCTTACCAGACGAACGAGCAACACGCACCCATACCCATATGGGGGGACCGAGGGGGCTATGGGTGCGTGTTGTCGGATGGGGGTCCCCGTTCGAACGGGAGCCTCCCCCCAGGGTCCGACAACCCGCACCCATATCCACAGCTAGTCCTCCTCTCTCCGACCCTCCTGTGGGTATGGGTGTGTGCTGTTCGTTCGTCATTATCAGCGTTGGCTGCGTCCCCGTGTGTCCTCCCAGCTGCCCCCGCCCCGCCAGTGCCTCGGCCACGAGCCGCTCTCCGGCAGCCGCCGGCGGAGGGAGGGAGGGGGGCGGCGAGGTGAGGGAGGGAGGGAGGGATGGGAGGGAGGGAGTGAGGGATGAGGGAGGGAGGGAGGGGGGAGGGAGGGGAGGGAGGGAGGGAGGGAGGGAGGGAGGAGGAGGGAGGAGGAGGAGGAGGAGGCAGGAGGAGGAGGAGGAGGAGGAGGAGGAGGGGGGAGGAGGAGAGGCGGAGGAGGAGGAGGAGGAGGAGGAGGAGGAGGAGGAGGGAGTAAGGGAGGAGGGAGGAGGGGCAGGAGAGAGGAGGAGGTAGGAGGAGGACGAGAGGAGGGAGGAGGAGGAGGGAGCGAGGAGGATGAGGAGAAGGGAAGGAGGATGGAGGAGGAGGAGGAGGAGGAGGAGGAGGAGGAGGAGGAGGAGAAGGAGCGACAGAGCAGGGAGTTGGGATGGAGGGAGGTGGAGGAGAGGATTAGAGGACCCAGACCTCTTCTTCCTCCTCCTCCTCCTCCTCCTCCTTGCTCTCCTGCCCTTCCTCCTTCTCCGCGCCGCAGGGGGTGCTTTCTCTCGGAGGTTGGCCTTTCTGGCTTGTTGGTTGGTGGAGCGGCTCTGTGCCGCTGGGCGGTGCAGGGTCTGTCCTGTAGCCCTCGTTTCTGGAAGGCTCAGCCTTGTCCGCTCCAAGCGCCCTGCCCGTTTCTCCTCCCCTCTTCCTCCCCTCTTCCTCCCCTCTTCCTCCCCCTCCTCGTCCTCCTCTGCTCCTCCTCCTCCTCCTCCTCCTCCTCCTCCTCCTCCGCCCCTCTCCTGCGCCTCACCCCCGCCTCCGCCGCGGCCTCGCCGCGGTCAGGTCCACGGCATGGCTGGCTGGTTCGAGGCGCTCTTCGAGGCGTTTCTGTATGCGCGCGCGCGGGCTGTGGGTGCCGTCCACGTCATTTTGTTTGGGCGATTCTCGGAGGCTTCCGACGATCGGGTCGGACGAAAGGTTTTCGGACGTTTTCACGGGCCATCGGCATTTCTCCACCCCGAGTACCGCCCGCAGCAGCCCCGTCCCAGTGCCTCCCGAGCCAGCTTCGTGCTGAAGCTGGTCCTCCTCCTCCTGCTCCTGCTCCCGACTCCTCGCGCTCCCCGTCTGCAGGGCGACGAGGCCGTGTGCCCATCCACTGCCGCTGGCCCGGCCAGCGGCGGTGGATCTGCAGCGGCCTCGCCGCCCTGCTCTCAGGAGCGAAAGAAGGACGTACATGTACATGAATCCGCGCTGGTTTCGAGAGCACGCATTGCACAAATGTTCGTATAACGCGGCCGGTCTCGCGCATCGAGGGGCCGTGTTCATGTACATAGCTGGGCGCGTACGTCCTTTGTGGGCTCCCTATGCTCTGGCTCCTCCGCTCCGCTCCTCCTCGCCCGCCTCCTGCCGTGGCCGCCGCCGCTGCTGCGGGCGGGGCCCGCTCTCGCCTCCGCCTTTGGCAGAGCGCGGCCTCGGCGGGCACCGCCGGCTGGCGTCCAGGGGCCCCCCCGGCGGCCCGCGGGGGGCAGCGCCTCGAGGGGAGGGGGCCCGTGCGTGCCCTGTGCTACAGGCCTCCAGGAATCTCGCCACCCACCAGACCACCCCTCGGAACAAGGAAAAGCGACACCAACACCAACAGGGCGAGGAGATGCGAGGAGGCAAAGGGAAACTCCCTGGTGGTGTGGTCCCCCTTCTCGCTCGAGACATCCCCAGCCTCCAGCTCGAAGAGGCATCGTGAACCTCCTCGCTGGCGGTGGGCCCCCTGGTGGTGTTGGTATCGCTTCTCCTCCCTCCGACACCCCAGCCCAACCCGGAGGCTTCAATCTGCCCTCCATTTCCAGTGGGGGGAGGTCAGGGAACGTTGAGAAAACACCTGGGCCCCGTACGCCCCCCACCCCGAAATTCGAGAGTCAGATTCGGGTCTTCGGGTTGGGTTGGGGTGGTCTGGTAGGCAGTCAGAATCGAACGGTATCCGGCCCATCCCGCCACCGTGCCTGGTTCTTCAATACTAGTTGCAGCATGCGAAGGAGTGTCCACACGCTCGCGGTGTCGCGCGCGCATGCCGAAATCCATCCAAAACCGCAGGTTTCGCAAGGATGTCGGGTTCGAGGTTCCAAGAGACATCCAGCTGCCTTCGGCCCACCCCGCCACCGTGGCTGGGTCGTGGGCACGGAGCCTGTTGGATGTTCTTTGGGATCTCGTGGGAGGCCTCTCGGGGGCCTCCTGGAGGCAGTGTGGGGGCCTCTTGGGGGCCGTCTTGGGGCCTCTTTTGGGCGACTATGGGGCCTCTGGGGTGCCTCTGGGTTGCCTCTTGTGGGCCTCTTGGAGCCTAGTGGGCGCCTCTTCGGGCCTCTTAGGGTGGAAGGCTCGAATTTTCGGTTCGCGTTCCCTCTCTCGGGCCCCTTCTTGGGGCCGTCTTGGGGCCCTCCTGGGCCGTCTTGGGGCGCTCTCAGGCCGTCTTGGAGGCCTCTTTGGCCCTTTTGTGGTGGTCTTGGGGGCCTCTTCGGCCGTCCAGGAGCGTCGGAACGCCAAGAGGCGAGAACGCCCGAATCCTTAAAAACCCAAGGACGATCAATGAGTCAATGATTTTTGCTTCTTGGGGCCCTCTTAGGAGGCCTCTTAGAGGCCCGAGGCCATCTCGAGCGTCTTGAAGCAATTTTTCGGCGACTCGGGCCCTCTTGGACAATCTTGGGGGCCTCTTGGGGCCCTCTTGGTCCGCCGTCGGGCCTCTTGGTCTCCGAAGAGTCCATGCGACACCAATTCCCGGAACCCAGGGGCCCATAGGGCACGCGAGAAGCCCCGCCAAATTTTCGGAATTCGGGGTCCCTGCCCTCCTCAGGACTGAGGATCGAGGCTCCAGGGATTAGGCGCACCAGGGAGGGGGGTCCAGCTCCGACCCGAGAAGTCCGCGCGGACCTCCGTTCGTTTGTGCCGCTTTCCCGTGACCGCCCGAAAGCGACTCGGGACGAAGGGCAAGTCGTGGGGAGCGGGTCGAGGCCTTTGGGGAGCCACGGGGTGAACAGATCGCCACGGAGGACGCCTGGGCATGCCAGATGTTCCGTCACACCTGCAGGCAGCGGTGGCGCCGCAGGTGCGCGGTCCCCGTCGCCGTTCTCGGGGAGCCGACGCTGGACGGACCAGAGCCCAGATGGGGCCCCGGTCTTCGCCGCCGCCCTCCGTAGGGAGTGCGCTCCCGGGCCCGCGCCCGCGGGGCCCTGAGTCTTCTTTTTGTTTTGGTTTGTTCTTGAGGTGAAACATGGGTTGTTTGTATACATGTGTATGCATATGTAGATATACGTATACGTATCTGCATACGTGTATGCATATGTATATATGTATACGTAGAAGCAAGTGTAATTCTATGAATGTGTATATATATATATATATATATATATATATATATGCATATGCATATGCATATGTGTATGCATTTGCATTTGTATGTATGAACGTATATCTATGCATATGTACATACATAGGTAGCTGCACATGTATAGCTACATGCATATGTCTGTGTTTGTGTATGTTTGTATGCATATGCATATATATATATATATATATATATATGTATGTCGGTGTATATTTATATATGTTTGTATACATGCATATTTTTATGTATATGTACGTGTTTATGTATATATACATGTGCATGTTTGTGTTATCACCAGGTGTATGTACACATATACATATGTTTATGTACACGTTAACGCATAGGTGCATGCATATTCATATGCATATGCATATGTATATATATATGTGTTTATGTATATGTATATGTATATGTTTATGTAAACGTATGCATAGTTCTTTATGTATATGTACATATGGACGTGTATGTATGTGTAGGTGGATCGGTATTTGTACTTGCATACGTGCATGCATCCGTGTATGCAAATATATTCAGCTATGCATATGTATGTGTATGTGTAACGTATGTGCACGTGTATAGGTATATGTATACGTTTGTGTAGATGTTCAGGAGCATGTCTATGTATAGGTGTACGCATGTGTACATGTATATGTACACGTAGATGTACATGCACATGCACACTCACAGCATGTGTATATGTATATTTCTATGTGTATGCATACGTATACGTATTTTTCATATGTATGTGTATGTGTATACGTGTATGTACATGTATATGGATAGGTCTAGGTATTTGTATATGTACATGTTTATGTACTTTTCCATGCGTACGTATATGTATAGGCATGTGCATAGGTTCATGTAAATTCTCCAAATAGGCTTGCCCTATGGAGTCCTAGCTAAAAGCCTGCTAATAGGTCCGTTGCCCCCCCTAATTCCTATGTCTCCCCCCCCCCACGTCCTATGGCTATGCCTATGCCCATGCCACACCCCCCTTATCCAATGCCCCCCCCTTATGTATGCTTGATTGCTTGCTCGCTTGCTTGCGCGCTTGCACGCTTGCTTTCGTGCTTGCTCGCTTGCGCGCTTGCTTGCACGCTTGCTTGCTTGCTGAGCTGCGGATTCCAAACATGCTCGACTCATCTGATTTCTTGATTTGGGTCGCCTGATCTATTTGGAGTCCACGCTGGCTGATATGTTGATGTATGTGTACATGTAAATGTATACGTTCGTGTACATGTACGTGTATATGGGTATGCGTATGCATGGATCACAGTATATGCACATGTAAATATATTGGTATATGTGCATGTATAGGTAGTTGTGTTTGTACAGATGTATGTCTGTCTGTCTGTCTGTATGTATGTATGTATGTATGTATGTATATATATATATGTATATATTTATAGATATGTATGTGTGCATGTCTATGTATACGTAGGGGCGTGTGCATTTGTATAGGTTTACTTGTTGTCAATGCGCATGCCTATGTACGTGTCTTTACATGTTTATATGCATGTATGCGTATGCACATGTTTGTGTATATATGCATATGTAGGTATATGTATCTGCATTTGTTTATACATATGTACTGAATGTAGGTATGTGTACACGTACATGTATGCGAACATATATATATATATATATATATTGTAATTGTTTTTGTGTATTCTTATATGTCGATGTATGTGCATATAGATATCAGCCAGCGTTGACTCCAAGTAGACTAGACGACCCAAATCAAGGAATCAGAGGAATCGAGCATGGTTGGAATCCGCAACTCAGCAAGCCAGCAAGCGTGCAAGCGAGCGCGCAAGCAAGCAAGCAAGCAAGCAAGCAAGCAAGCAAGCAAGCAAGCAAGCAAGCAAGCGAGCGTGCAAGCGCGTAAGCAAACATACATAAAGGGGGTGCTATTGGAAAAAGGGAGGGGGGATAGGCATAGGCATAGGCATAGCCATAGCCATAGAAATTAGGGGAGGCACAGGGATTAAGGGGGATGCAACGGACCAATTAGCAGGGTTTGAGCTAGGACTCCTACAGGGCAAGCCTACTTAGAGACTATGCATCTGTATATTTTTATTTTATTATTCTGCATTATTACGGGGCGATTCACAGCGGGCGATTTTGCTTTGTTTCGGGCCACGGGGTCCGTACGGGTGGATCCCGCCCGAACAGTGCCGCGGGAAGCTGGGGTCCAGGGCTCCAGTCGAGTTCTGCTGCGATGTGGCCCTTGTCCCGTCTCGTCGGACCCCCGGCCGAGCGGCCCAGGCGCCAGCCTTGGCCTGGCACCTGGGGCACCGCCTCCGGGGTGCCCCCCCGCCGACTTCTTGCCTCTGCTCCGCGCGGCTCCGTCGGGAGCCCGAGGCCGCCAGCTCCACGCGTGAAGCGCTGCGCGCCGTGGGAGCGGTTCTCATTCGTTGACCCCGTCTGCGATCGCTCCCCTGCCCTTCCGTTTTGCATCGGTGCGCAGTCAGCTCTGCCGCGCCCCAGCTGCTGCTCTCCGACGCCCCGTGTCCCACGTCGTCGCTGAAGCAAAGAAAAAAATCGACGGGGACCGTCAGCCTCAAGAGTGGAGCCCTGCGCGCGCGGTCCCGAGCGGGAGTTTTCCGTCCTTGGTGTTTTCTGTCTCTGTGCCTTTCTGGCCAGAAGCGATCCTGCAAGCAGGCGGCTCGATTCGCTAGGGCTCGATCAGGACTCAGTTCACTTGAGTTCAGTGCAGCTCCATCTGCCTCCCTCCCGTGGGCCTCGCCTTTTCAGGAGGACGCCCGCAGCGGAAACTGCCAGTGCCAGGACGCGCGCACCTGCTCTGCAGCCACGAGCTCGGCGCCATCGATTCGGCCCCCCCCCCACACATTCTCATACGACGTGTGCGCTGTCCACGCCACGGCGACGCGCACGCTCGGAGATCCTACAGTCCGAGCTCCGTGGCGGGCGCTTCCTGGCCGCACCGCTCGGGAAACGACGCGCTACAAGATCTTGTGCCATGTGTGTTGCGTCGGACGTACGTCTCCCACGTCATCGCGCCGTACCAAGAGGTCCTCCCGCGCCCCAGTCACTGGCCCTGGAAGCTGTGCGAAAGCGACGCCGCCCATGGCACCACCCGCGATTTCACGGCACCGCGGCACCGCGGCGCCACAACACCACGGCGCCACGGCGCCACTGCACAACTGCACCACGAGGCCACGGCAGCACTGCGCCATGACGCCACGACACCCACGACGCCACGGCACTTCGTGACGCCTCGTAACCGCGGCGCTGCGACAGCACGAAGCCATGACACCACGGCGCCCCGCGACACCCCACGATGTGCTGAGTGACCTGGGGATCTCGCACACAGCTTCGTACCCACGCCGCGCACGGCGCGGGAACGAGCTGCGACTTCCCAGCGGGCGCAGCCTCAAAGAGGCTTCCACGCCCCCACCTCCTAATCAAGGTGCAGAAACAGGAGCGTAGAGCAGGCTGACAAGTTTTTTAGATGGAACGGACGCGCTATCACATGTCATGGCGTTGACTTGTTTTGCTTGTTTTGTTGTGCTGCGAGCAGGGTTTGCAAGGCAACGCCGTGTATTGCTTTGCCGACTTTGCTTTGCCGTGCATGGTGTTGCTTTTGCACTCTTTTGCATTGCTCTGCTTCGCTCTGCCTTGCGCTGGGCTGGCAGCGCATCGCTCAGGTTTGCTCGTCAACGGCTGGGGGACTGCCATTTGTCGCTTGTCCCCTGCACCGCCCTAAACCAGTGAGCGACGCAGGGCATCGGGCTCGTCTTCACGGGCACTCGTGCGCAAGCTGCCCGCGTAGTGTCCCGGGTAAGTGCCCTCGCTTCCACTGTGGCGTGCCAGGCTGGCGGCCCGCGTAAGCCGCGGCGTACGGTCGCTACGTCATCGTGCGCAAGCGCAAGACCCGTTTCTTGTTCGTCGCTCAGTTGGCCATGCCTTTCTTCTTTCGCTTTCCGGCGTGGGGCTTCTGCCGGCGGCCCCTGGTGGCGCCCTGCGCCGCGCAGGGCTCCAACGCCACCGTGGTGCTCAACACCGCCCCGTGGTGTCCTGGAACTCACTGGTGCGCTGTCCCGCTCCCCCACAGGAGGAGCGAGTGGACGGGAGACCGCCTCGAGCGGCGAACAGGTCCGCATCCGCGCCCTCGCGGACCGGATCCCGGAGCGCGATCTCGTGGAGATCACCGAGGGCGTTCCATTGCTCGCAAGATTCCTACTCGCAGGCGTCCAAGAATACGTGCTGGCTTCGACGCAATGGATCGTGACTCCCCCACGACGGGTCCAGGCCAGTTGCGAGTATTTCCTTTGCGAGTAGTGTCGCAGGCCTAGAGGCTGACGCCAACATCAATATGGCGGTGTGTCTCCACCGAGGGAGGAAGATCCCGATCTCGGCGATGGTGGTGCTATTCTGGCTCCCAAGGTGGGCCGAAACAGGAACGCCAACGCCGAACTCCAGGACCGTCTTCCCCCTGTGGAGGCAAGCCTCCTGTGTTGGCGTTGGTGCCCATTCCCAGGCCTCCAGTCGTGGAACACGCTTTTCTAGGATATGCGGTCGCACGGATACGTTCCGCGCGGGGCATCCGCCAAGAGACGCCCCGCACCCGCGAGGTCACGGCCAGGGGTCCTGGCCCGCGAGGTCGCGGATGCGGCTCTTTGGCTTCGCCCACGACTGGGGAGAGGAGGGGGCGCACTGGCAGGAGCGGGGGCAGCGGGCGAGGCGGAAGGAGCGGCACTGCCCCGGACGGGGATGGCGGAGAGAGAGATAGAGAGAGCGACAGAGAGAGATGACGGCAGGGGCTGCCAGGGACGGCCACAGGCACGGGCAGAGGCTCAGCGGAGGCAGACACGGACATCTGCGCATTCACACGCGCAGGCACGCAGGCGGGCAAGGCAGGAGGCAGGCAATCAGGCGTATCTTTCTATCAATCTACTTGTCTTTCTGTATATACATATATATTTATAGATATCAATCTCTCCATATATCGATCTATCTTTCAATCTGAATATATACTCGCTCTATCTCTCTCTATATACATATCTGTATTATCTTTCTATCTATTTATCTATCTATATCTCTCTCTATATATATCTCTATCTCTCTCTCTATCTCTCTCTATCGTGGTGTTGACGATGACGGACGATGGGTGATGGATGAGGCATGAAGAATGATGATGCTGATGATGATGCTATGCTGATGATGATTGATGATGATGGGGATGATGATGAGGATGATGATGGTGATGATGATGATGACGATGTGGATGATGACGATGATGATATGGATGATGATGAGGATGATGATGGTGATGACGGTTGATGGTGGTGATGGTGGTGCTGGTGGCTGCTGCTGCTGCTGTTGCTGATGACGATGACGATGACGATGACACTCACAGTGATGATGATGATGATGATGATGATGATGATGATGATGATGATGATGATGATGATGATGATGGTGATGATGATGATGATGATGATGATGATGATGATGATGATGATGACGCTGTTGGTGCTGCTGCTGCTGATGATGATGATGATGACGATGCTGCGGGTGCTGATGATCTCGATTATGATGCTGATTATGACGGCGACGCTGTTGGTGATGCTACTGCTGCTGCTGCTGATGATGATGCTGATGATGATGATGATGCTGATGACAATAATGGTGGTGGTGGTGGTGGTGATGCTGATGATGATGATGATGAGGATGACGCTGTTGGTGCTGCTGCTGATGATGATGAGGATGATGATGATGATGATGATGGTGATGATGCTGCGGGTGCTGATGATCTCGATTATGATGATGATTATGACGACGACGCTGTTGGTGATTATACTGCTGCTGCTGATGATTATGATGATGATGCTGATGATAATAATGATGGTGGTGGTGGTGATGATGATGATGATGATGATGACTATGTGGTGGTCATGACGATGACGACGACGACGGCGATGACGACGATGATGACGAAGACGACGACGACCACGACGATGACGACGAGGACGACGACGAGGAAGAGGAGGAGGAATAGGAGGAGGAGAAGGAGGAGGAGAAGGAGGAGTAGGAGTAGGATGAGGAGTAGGAGTAGGAGTAGGAGTAGGAGTAGGAGTAGGAGTAGGAGTAGGAGTCAAGCTAGCCAGCTCGAGCGAGTCAAGCATGGCATGCCCAGTCCCACCCGCCCTCCCACAACATAAGAAGCAAAGCTGGCACAACTGGGGGCCGAAGTCACACCGGCCAGCCGGTTTGGTACAGCTGATGCGGCCGCGATGGCGGTTGCCGACGGGAACTGGCGAGCGCGTGTTGAATGCCGCGCACGCATTGCCAGACGAGTCGAGAATGGCCCGGTACACCGCAGGAAGCCAGAGGTGGCCGGAGGAAGCCCGACGGTCTGACAGGACACCCCAAAGCATTTTTGTGAAAAAGCATTGGGTTTTTGATGTTTTTATGTTGAAATGCTTGCAAACACACGGTGTTCGGTAGGATTCTGACATGAACGCGCGAGTGTGCTCTTTGTGGTATTTTTTTGCGCAGGATTCGCGGCCTGGGTGCATGACAGAGCATCGCGAGTGCACCGCGCGATGACGTGAAATCGCTGGATTTGACAGAATTCTTAAGATTCCTATGGTTTTCCTATGATTTCAGCAAGAGAGCCCGGGCGGGAAATTTGTACAATTTTTGTGAAAAAAGCATTGGGTTTTTGATGTTTTTATGTTGAAATGCTTGCAAACACACGGTGTTCGGTAGGATTCTGACATGAACGCGCGCGTGTGCTCTTTGTGGTATTTTTTGCAATGGATTATCGCCGTGGACGACAGGACGTCCATGTCGAGAGGAAAAAATAAGAAAAAATGTTGATTTTGTATTGTTTTTTACAGGTTAGGATGGGACCACCCGGATGCGCCCGCTATCTGCCGGCCTGAGGGGGGAGTAGGAGTATATTCTAATAAGGAAAAGGAGGATAGGAGTAGGAGTAGGAGTCAAGCTAGCCAGCTCGAGCGAGTCACCCATGGCATGCCCAGTCCCACCCACCCTCCCACAACATAAGAAGCAAAGCTGGCACAACTGGGGGCCGAAGTCACACCGGCCAGCCGGTTTGGTACAGCTGATGCGGCCGCGATGGCGGTTGCCGACGGGAACTGGCGAGCGCGTGTTGAATGCCGCGCACGCATTGCCAGACGAGTCGAGAATGGCCCGGTACACCGCAGGAAGCCAGAGGTGGCCGGAGGAAGCCCGACGGTCTGACAGGACACCCCAAAGCATTTTTGTGAAAAAGCATTGGGTTTTTGATGTTTTTATGTTGAAATGCTTGCAAACACACGGTGTTCGGTAGGATTCTGACATGAACGCGCGAGTGTGCTCTTTGTAGTATTTTTTGCACAGGATTCGCGGCCTGGGTGCATGACAGAGCATCGCGAGTTCACCGCGCGATGACGTGAAATCGCTGGATTTGACAGAATTCTTAAGATTCCCATGGTTTTCCTAAGATTTCAGCAAGAGAGCCCGGGCGGGAAATTTGCACATGTTTTTTTTTGTGAAAAAATATTGGGTTTTTGATGTTTTTATGTTGAAATGCTTGCAAACACACGGTGTTCGGTAGGATTCTGACATGAACGCGCGCGTGTGCTCTTTGTGGTATTTTTTGCAATGGATTATCGCCGTGGACGACAGGACGTCCATGTCGAGAGGAAAAAATAAGAAAAATGTTGATTTTGTATTGTTTTTTACAGGTTAGGATGGGACCACCCGGATGCGCCCGCTATCTGCCGGCCTGAGGGGGGAGTAGGAGTATATTCTAATAAGGAATAAGGATCAAGCTAGCCAGCTCGAGCGAGTCAAGCATGGCATGCCCAGTCCCACCCGCCCTCCCACAACATAAGAAGCAAAGCTGGCACAACTGGGGGCCGAAGTCACACCGGCCAGCCGGTTTGGTACAGCTGATGCGGCCGCGATGGCGGTTGCCGACGGGAACTGGCGAGCGCGTGTTGAATGCCGCGCACGCATTGCCAGACGAGTCGAGAATGGCCCGGTACACCGCAGGAAGCCAGAGGTGGCCGGAGGAAGCCCGACGGTCTGACAGGACACCCCAAAGCATTTTTGTGAAAAAGCATTGGGTTTTTGATGTTTTTATGTTGAAATGCTTGCAAACACACGGTGTTCGGTAGGATTCTGACATGAACGCGCGAGTGTGCTCTTTGTGGTATTTTTTGCACAGGATTCGCGGCCTGGGTGCATGACAGAGCATCGCGAGTGCACCGCGCGATGACGTGAAATCGCTGGATTTGACCAGAATTCTTAAGATTCCTATGGTTTTCCTATGATTTCAGCAAGAGAGCCCGGGCGGGAAATTTGTACAATTTTTGTGAAAAGCATTGGGTTTTTGATGTTTTTATGTTGAAATGCTTGCAAACACACGGTGTTCGGTAGGATTCTGACATGAACGCGCGCGTGTGCTCTTTGTGGTATTTTTTGCAATGGATTATCGCCGTGGACGACAGGACGTCCATGTCGAGAGGAAAAAATAAGAAAAATGTTGATTTTGTATTGTTTTTTACAGGTTAGGATGGGACCACCCGGATGCGCCCGCTATCTGCCGGCCTGAGGGGGGAGTAGGAGTATATTCTAATAAGGAATAAGGATAGGAGTCGGAGTCGGAGTCGGAGGAGGAGGAGGGAGAGGAGGAGGAGGAGGAGGAGGAGGAGGAGGAGGAGGAGGAGGAGGAGAGGAGGTAGGAGGAGGAGGAGAGGAGGAGGAGGAGGAGGGGAGGAGGGCGGAGGAGGAGGAGGAGGAGGAGGAGGAGGAGGAGGAGGAGGCAGGAGGAGGAGGAGGAGGAGGAGGAGGAGGAGGAGGGAGGAGGAGGAGAGGAGGAAGAGGAGGAGGAGAGGAGGAGGAGGAGGAGGAGGAGGAGGAGGAGGAGGAGGAGGAGGAGGAGGAGGAGGAGGAGGAGGAGGAGGATGGAGGAGGAGGAGGAGGAGGAGGAGGAGGAGGAGGACGAAGAATAAGCATAATAATAAGGAGAAGAAAGCAATAAGAAGAAGAGGAGGAGGAGGATGCGGGGGATGGGGGATGAGGAGCAGGAGTAGCAGACGAGTGCGCTAATATTGGCGCGCTCAGTCACCCATTAGTGGATGACTACTTTAAGTTTAAGACCTGGGTGGGTTTCTCTCGGGAGCTGGGCAGGTGTATTGGGTCCCAGGATGTCCATCAGGTCAAGTTTCAGCTGCGCGACACGGTTGATTTTCCCGAGCGTGCGGTCTCCCTTCGCAAGACATCGAGACGTGTTGTTAATCTGACCGTTTCTGGTTCCAAGATGCCCAAGATCACCGAGGTTCGGCCTGTGCTTCCTGCGACCGACTCAGAGTCAGACAGGGGCCCCGAACTTGATTTTTTTCGTAAGGGTCATGTACTGGGTGGCGACGGTTTTCGATGCCGAAGGAGTGCAGAGGCTATGAGGAAGCAGAGTAGCGATGTGGACCAAATGCGGAGGATACGCGTTAGGTGGAGTAGTTTCGCTGGCTAAGAATGGCCAGGGACCCAATTACGCACTGAAGGGACAGAGGCGGAGGATGATGAAGGGGCTGTTTCCGAGCTGGGCAGAGCAAAATCGAGGCTGGAGGATCGGCCCGATGCGGCCGCCCAGCAATGTGGAGCTGTATCACCTCGCTAAGCCAGGGGTCAAGAACCCCCCCAAGGCCCCCCCCGCACGCTGATGCTGGGTGGAACCCAATCCAAGATGAGCGCTGGAGCGAGGCTGCTTCTCGTGCGCTTCGGTCTCGATCAGAGTATGCTTGATTTTCTTATTGCCCAGGAGCGTGATCGGGCCAGCAAGTTGGAAGGCTCCGACAGTGATGTTGATCGGTCATTCTTTTACGGAGTGAGCGCGTTTGACGCTTTTTCCACATGGTACAGTTCAGCACAGACGAGGAGCAGGAGAGGAGGAGGCGGAGGAGGAGGAGGAGGAGGAGCGGGTGTTTATGCATCGAATACCTGCTGGTCGTGAGGTACCAGATCCGCTTCCTGTTGGAGACTCCTCTTGCGGTCAATGCCGGCCAGCACATTGTGGGCACCGTCAGCATGGAGGTTTCTATGCTCTTCTGCGGCTGCTGTTACCGCGGTTGTTGCTACGTATGCTCTTGCTTCTCCCCATCTCATCTCCCTCCCTCCTTGCCCCTTGTCTTGCGCAGGGCGCGAGCTAAAGTGCGTTTTGTGTCGATTTCGTGGTCCGTTTTTGTTTCATTGTGTTTTGCAGCAGAGGCGGACCGAAGACAGACCGAGGGAAAACGACAACTCGAACACGGAAAACACTGTTTAGCTCGTGCTCTGATCTCGCGCACCTCTGGCGATCGTCGCATTCTGCTTCGCGCAGCCGCTGACTGCTCGCGCGCGCGAAGCCAAGTCTTCCCTCGTCCTCTCCTCCTCCCTGCACCCGCTGCCCTCGACGTCCTCCCGTTCCTCGTGCTGCCCTCGACTCCCCTTGCCCTCGACTCCTTCTGCCGTCCCCGCCCCTCCCTTCTCCTGCCCCGAAGAGGACCTCCCTCCTGGGGCTCGACCGCTCTCGGGGGGGGGGCAGCGAACCTCTGAGCGCCGGCCTCCTCGTAGGCCCCCCTCGTCGTCCTCCTCCGTGCCTCGGGCCCCCCCCTCGTCGCCCGGCCTCTGCCGTGCCCTTCTCCCGCCTGGCTCGCCTGGCACGCTTCATGTGCGGTCCACCCGCACAGAGGGGAGGCGCGAGCTCTCCAGGGTCACCCTCGGCATCCCCGTCCTCTTTTTGGGCCCGTCCCTGCCAGCTCTCGCTGGCCAAGCCCCACAGGACTCGAGAGGGTCGGCTGGGCGAGGGCCGCCTCCAGCATGCGAACCCTGCCCCTGCCCCTCACGATTTCTGGGGGGGAGGGCGAGGTTCACTTCGTTCGGGAGCTCCCGAGCAGAGTGAACCCCACCCTTCCCCTGAGAAATCGTGGAGGGTAGGCGCAGGGTTCGCATGCGGCGCCTAGAGGGGGCCACTGGACAGATGTCAGCGTGGCTTTCCAAGGCATCCTCGTCTCCCCTCCCGTGCATCCCCGTCCTCCTGCCGCGGGCCGACGGTCCACGGCACGGGGGCGGAGGGTGGAGACCGACGAGCGGCGGCGCCGCGTGCCGCCGGGCGGCCTTCCTCCTCGGCGGCGTGCCGCGCGGAGGCCGTGTTTTTTTTTTTTTTTTTTTTTTTTTTTTTCTGCTCGCCCTCGCCCCTTGGCATCGCTCGGACGGGTGCCTTTTTCCTCGGCGAGGGCCATCGAGGGCCAGCCTGGACGAATCGAGCAGAACAGCAAACACGCACGAAGCCGAACACTGCACGGGAAATGGGCGCCCGAGCGACGGCGAGATTACGGCGACGAGCGGCACGCCGTAGGCCCACGGGAGCAGGGCAGCGTCTGCCCAGAAGCCTCTCGACGCTCGAGTCCTGGGGGTCCGCGTCGTCTTGGCCTCCCCTCGCCTGGGAGGGAGACGGAGCGCAGGCCACCCGCCTAGTGAGGGATGTGCATCCCTCCCAAGGGTACCCCTTAGGCGATGCTTAAGAAAACCCAAGTTTTCGGCCAGAGTCTCGATTATTCTTAATGTTTCAATGTAAATCTTAAGACTTTAATGGAAATGTTGGGTTCTTATTCAAGTTCTGAGACTATGAATTTCTTAACCCATGATTTCTTAAGCATTTCGCAGGGTGTACCCTCGCATCCTCGCCTCCTCGGCCCATCTCTGGTTGCTTTCGCTGGCCGCGCCCCGCTGGCACAGTGCCGGCATGGCCTTCGAGGCCCTTGCGTCCTTTCCGCGCATGCTGATGATACTGGTTGACCGTCCTCGAACCTTTCCTTCCCTTCGATTGGGCCTGCGTCGTCGGGGCCTTCCCTTCGATTGGGAAGGGAGACGGCGTAGAAGTGTGCAGTCGGGCGTGCCCCTCCACAAGAGGGATTGTCAAGGATAATAAAAAACATAGTCTGGAGACGATTTGTCGATTGTTTTTGGACTATTTTCGGGTATTCGTTGGCCATTCTGTATTTTCCCTCCAGAATTCTTTATTTTTGGCGGGCTATTCAGTACTATGTTTTTTTGGCTATTCTTTATGTTTCCTCCAAAACTCGCCTGTAGGAGGACGTGCCCGACCAACGATCAGAAGCGACACACGTTGCCGCTGGGAGCCCGCCCAGCTCGTCCTCTGCCCGAAGGCCCGGTGCCTCCTCGACAGCAGCCTCGTAGACAGAAACTCGGCGGCGAGCGAGGAGGAGAAGTGAGGAGGAGGGGGAGGAGGAGGAGGAGGAGGAGGAGGAGGAGGGGAGGAGGAGGCGGAGGAGGAGGAGGAGGAGGGGGAGGTGGGGCGGGGGAGGAGGAGGAGGAGGAGGAGGAGGAGGAGGAGGAGGAGGAGGAGGAGGAGGAGGAGGAGGACAGGGGAGGTAGGAAGGAGGAGGAGGAGAGGAGGAGGAGGAGGAGGAGGAGGAGGAGGAGGAGGAGGGGAAGGAGGAGGAGGATGAGGAGGAGGAGGAGAAGGAGGAGGAGGAGGAGGGGAATGATGATGAGATGATGATGATGATTGATGATGATGATGATGCGATGA